GTCAAATACAACTTTCAAATGAACTGTATGGAATTTTATGACTTTAAAGCGTGAAACGGCGCTATAAAAATATTAATTCTAGTGAAAAGTATCAAAATTAATGTTATTTAAATTTTTACAATGTGTGTATGTGTAATAATTCAGATTGTTTAAAATTTTAATGTATGCATTGTTGTATGCTACTATTTTTATAATAAATGTTATAAACTTATGAATTTTATAAGGTTAATTATTGATTTTCATCGATATGTCCTTTATTTTCCCCAAAAAAATATGGTCACTGTACTTATAAGACATAGGGCAATTTTTTCCTTGTTTTCCTAAAAGTTGCATCTTATGTACTGTATAATATCATAGTTTTGACTTTTTATATTTGATAAATTGATAAATTTTTCAGCTAAATTTTGTTAATATTTCAAAAGCATATTGATTTTTTTTAGTTAATCTCATTTTAATTTAAAGTAGTCACTTGACTTTGATAGAATTGCAGATTTACTGTGGTGTATATGTTTAAAGAGTAGCTTGCTTATTATTTACAATATTTTAACAGCTTTTCTAATTTTATAAAAATTACTTAATAGTGTAATCCAGTAATGATGATAAATTCAGTATTTGTAATGGATCATTGTAAAGGAATTTAAATGATTAGTAAAAATGTCATTTTACACTACAGTCGACCCCCCCATAACATGGATTCCTATATCACGGCAAAAATATTGCGACAGTATTCGTACAAACATGCTAAAAAAACTCATATAATTCAGTAAAACATCATCGCCGACTCGTGTCGCGACAGGATTGGTCAAATCTAGACCAATAGCGGATATTGTACAAACCGTTGAGTTTAAACGAGCAGCGGACCTACTAAAAACCATTTATCATTTAACGTCCATAAAAATTATATTTATATTAATGATGTCTCCAAACTTCAGCGAATTTTTCGCAAAAAAAATAATTTATCAGGAAGCATGCGAGTGCCATTCGATGACAAGCTCCACGATGAAAACAAGCTTAAGCAATTGCATAGTCAAACGGTGCACACTCGGTAAGTAATCCTACAAGTTTTTTGTTTATAGCATAGTTTATATGGATTATTCCCAAAAAATTATACGTATTTTAGAAATGTTGAGTCGAATTAGTCTAGAATCGATTAATTTTATGGAAGAAACCTTTCAAACAGCCGTAGTCCATAAACTGCATACGTGCGGGCTGTGATTGGCTGGACTCGTAGAAAATGGATTCATAAAGAACGGAACATATCTACTGTGTTATACAGGGGTCAACTGTATATGCTATAGACTCATTGTATGTCTCCATTAATCCAGCATTGGAAAAGTACAATTAGGGAAAGCAATTTAAAGAATGAAGAATAACTACTATTCAAAAAATCAAAATATATTTCAAATTAACCAAAATGACTTTACTGAGAACTTACAGTTAAATATATTTTATTAATTTTGTTATAGTAAACATTTACTTGAATGATAATTTCAAGGAGTGCTACTTATGTTTCTTCATTTAAAATAACGATTCACATGTAAAAGTTGCAGACAAAGCTTAGGTGAGACTAATTGACAAAACTTAGGTGAGACAAGTTTTTTGATACTAATTCCTCAAGCCTACAAAACTCAAATCTAAAAGAAATGACAAAACTAAGCTTTGATTTGGCATCTATGTATCCACATCATTAATCTGCATACCAAAAGCACACTTAAAATTTATATGTTATAACTCCAACTTGCTTTAAACATATTTAGCAAAACTACATTATATTTCCTTTTTTGAAAAAATATTTAGGATGTAATATATCATATTTCTGCAGAGTACAAAAAAATATCATCTTTATTCCCATACAAATAGAAAATAATGAACAAATATATCATTCTCCTCAATAGTATGTCTAACCTGAAATGCTGAACCAATGGAGTAATTTGCAAACCAACAAGTAACTGAATTATTTACAAAACAAATCTTTTCTTAAAAATAATTAATTCTAATATAAAGTATGAAAATAAAAAATACTTTCAAAATAAACAAATAATTGCTACTTATATTTTAATTTTTGCACACTTTAAATTCATCTGA